AAACACAAGGGAAAGTTTATTTGGTACTCGATTTTTTACGTGGTGGTGATTTATTCACACGTCTATCTAAAGAAGGTATCTGTATAACATAAATATCTTTTGATAATAGATAACTTTTTTTCTTTTTTTTTTTAATTTTTCTCTTTTAGTCATGTTTACTGAACGAGATGTTCAATTTTATTTAGCTGAATTAGCTCTTGCACTTGATCATTTACATTCATTGGGTATTGTATATCGTGATTTAAAACCTGAAAATATTCTTCTTGATTCTGATGGTCATATTGCTTTAACGGATTTTGGTCTATCAAAAGAATCTGTACCAACACAAGATTCAAAAACATTTTCATTTTGTGGTACTGTTGAATATATGTCACCAGAAGTTGTTTCACGTAAAGGACATTCACATGTTGCCGATTGGTGGTCATTTGGTGTACTTGCATTTGAGATGCTTACTGGACATTTACCATTTCATGGTGCAACTCGTAAAGATACCATGAATATGATATTAAAAGCTAAATTAGCTATGCCAACATATCCATCAACAGAAGCACAAAGTTTATTACGAATGTTATTTAAACGTAATCCAGCTAATCGATTAGGTGCTGGACCAGATGGTTTTCGTAATATACAAAAACATCCATTTTTTGTCTCAATTGATTGGGATAAATTATATAGAAAAGAAATTGAACCACCATTTATACCACCAATACATAATGACCATGGATATTATTTTGATAAAGAATTTACATGTAAAACACCAACAGGTAAATATAAAATTTTCTATTTATTTATTAAACATTATTTTTCTTTTTATTAATAAAGATTCACCTGGTATTCCACCAAGTGCAGATGCTTATAATGCATTCCAAGGTTTTAGTTACATTGCACCAGATATAATACATGCTCGTCAACATGATCCATCTTATGCTAATGATGTTGAACGACGTTTAAGATCAATAAATGGTGTTAAAATAACATCATTTAAAGATGAATATGAATTAAAAGAACCATTAGGACGAGGAAAAACTTCAACTTGTTATCGTTGTATACATAAACAAACAAATGTTGAATATGCTGTTAAAATAATAAAAGATGCACATACGAATGATCCATCAGATGAAATTGAATTATTATTTTTTTATAGACAATTAGCACATATTGTTCGAGTAAGAAAATTACTAAAGAGAAAAAAGAACTTAATTTTAAAACCTCAATTATTTTATTGTTATTTTTTTTTTTGTCGTATTTAGATAAGAGATGCTTTCTATAATGCCCCTACTGTATATATAGTAACTGAATTAATGCTTGGTGGTGAATTATTTGATAAAATTTGTCAAGAAAAATCTTTATCTGAACGTGAAAGTGCAAAAATAATGTATGTAATTATTAAAACAGTCGAACAATTGCATAGAAATTCAATTGGTAAATAATATTGTTTTTATAATACAAAAAACGAAAAAGTACTTTTGTTTTGTTTTTAGTACATCGTGATCTTCAACCACGTAATATAATGTATCTTGATAAAAGTTGTCGACCATCATCATTACGTATTGTTGATTTTGGTTTTGCAAAACAACAACGTGCTGAAAATGGTTTATTAATGACACCATGTTTTACAAAAGAATATGCTGCACCTGAAGTTTTATCAAGAAAAAAATATGATGAATCTTGTGATATATGTTTGTTGATTATTTTTTAAATTTTAATTGTTAAATTAAATATTATTGTTTACTTTTAGGGAGTCTTGGCGTTCTTTTATATACTCTATTATCTGGTAATACACCATTTGCATCTGATCGAAATGATTCTCATGAACTTATTCTTGCTCGTACTTCTCATAAATTACAATTTACTGGACCAACATGGGATAGAGTAACATATAATGCTAAAGTAATTTTTTATAATAAATTTTAAAATAAAATATTAATTATTTTAAAATAATTTTTAGACACTTGTAAGTGCAATGCTTGATGTTGATCCAAAGAAGAGACCAACTGCACTTGAACTTTGTAAACATCCATGGTTTTCTAATATTGATAGTTTACCTAATGTGAAATTGGCTACTATTCAAGATTATAATCGTATTCGAGTATGTTATTCTTTTTTTTTGTTTTATTTAAGAAAAAGAAAAGAAAATTTTATTAATTTAATTCTTTTTTTAAAGCACAATCTCGATGCTACTTTTAATGCAATTAATGGTAATTCAAATAAAACATTAGCACTTGGTCCAATTGGTGATTCAAATTTATTTAAACGTCGTAATGAAAGAACTCTTCATCAACAAAAACTTGAAAAAGTGAAATAATTTTATGTCTCAATTTGTATTTTGGTTTTATTTTTGTCAAACAAATGATGTTTTGTATCTGTTTGCTTTTTTTTCTCGTTCTTGATGGTATACATGTTTCTTTTCAGATTATGCCTCAATCGAAGAGTTTTTTTTCTCTTTGTTGTGTTTATTTTTATTGTTGTTTGTTGTGTTTTTTTTCTCGTCTGTATTGACTATATTCGTATTGCAATTTACGACAGGAAATATATAGAGACACTATTTTACTATTCAAATTGTTTTGATTTGCTTATCTTGATAAGAGAAGGTATTTTTATTTTTTTGGTTTTGTGTTCGAGAAATCTAGAAAAATATATGATGAATAAATTGAAGGATTATTGAGAGAGAATTTAAATCTCAAATACTTAATAATATTCAATTAGAGAACAATTCTTTCAATATTGTTGACTAATATTTGGTAACTAAAACCATTAACAGGTTTACATACAATTTAGACAATGAAGCACTACTCAATCGTACACCTGCTATCTTGTTTTTTTTTTGCAGACATGGATGGATTAATGTAATTAATATTATTCTCATCAAATCTAATGCCAAAAGTAAAATAGCTAACAGGATTAGATAGAGAATTTTTCGCACTATGCTTCTGTGACCTTTTCAATGTATTCACGCTGTTTCTTACCCAGAAAAGGCTTAGGACTAACATCTTCGAGTTCGTTTGAATGCATTATTGAAAAGTCCTGTTTTCCAAAGCTAGATCTGGTTGTTGAAACATTTGTTCTCATTCTGTCGAATATAGAATTTAGCTCTGAATAAATGAATATGACTTCTATTTTGAACAATGAATACTATTAGGTAATTCATAAGAAAGAAGTAGAATGACAACAGTTGGGCAGAAAAACGATTTTCCGCATTTTTACAGCTTTCAATTGTGCCAAAATATTAGAAGATATTGTGGCACAATTAAAATGTGTCATCACTTGTTTCGGTTTTTGTCCTTCGCAGTTGGACAATTGAGCAGCATTTAATTCTTTGAAGTTTACGCGAACAAAGTAATTTACGTGAAAATGTCACACGAACAGAAAACAAAAGTAGCCAGTTTTATCTCTGTGACCCGTTAGAATTATTTCTTTTAGCAACGCGAAAATAATTCATTTGTCATATTCATTACGATCTATGTAACAAAAAAAAGGTCGGAAAGAAATCTGATTACAAACATGCTATGTTAGTATGTTTCGTTGAACAATATTTTATCTAAACATTAATTGGAATTGTTCTGTTTGATCTTTTCAAAATAAAAAACAATTCAACGAAGATTGTAAAGCTAAAGACTTCTCATGACAAATCAATTTGTGCTAATAGTTTCTCTTGTTTGACAATTCTTTTCTTCTCATGTGTCAATGAAATATTTCATCACAAAACTAAATTTCTGATTTGTTGACACATCATTCCATGCCTAGCTTGTCTGACATAGAGGACAGACGAGAACAAAAAGAAAGTAAGACTTTCTGTATCACTGAGCATCTTTCATGTTTATCTATATTTAAGCCCCCCTGTAACGGCACTAGCCGTCACCTATGCTCTCTCTCTCTCTCTTCCTTCTATTGTCTTTCATTGATGATTCTCTTTTCTTTATTTTGTCTCCTTTGTCGCGCCTTTTCTCTCTCTTCTGATATATTATTATTCATTATTCGTTTTCTTAGTTAGTAGCTTCACTACTACTCATCTTCTCATCTTTCAACACACATAGCTTCTTCATTGATCTTTATCTCACTGACTCATTTTCTATCATATACATCTTCTCTTCAACATTCAGTTTCGTCTTGACTGCTACCTTTCAGTCAACCGTTTATTGATCTATCTACATTGTTCTTTGTTTTCTGCTTTTCTTCTCTCGTCAATTATCAGAAACACCAAAATAAGTTGAGTGACGTTCAGGTCGAGAAGTTGAAAGTGTAAAATTGACGGGTTGACAAGAGACGGAACTCAAGTCGTACCCTTTNAGCAAGATCAGACTCTAGAAAAATGCACCCTTAAAAATCGTTTTTCTGAAGATTCTATCAATCTCCGGAAAAAAAAAATTTTGTCTTAATATCATCTACCGAGTCTGAAGATAAATTTTCACCATTTGGAAGTGATTTTAAACTTGTCATTCAGTTATAAGAGCATTGTCTTCATTTATAATATATTCGTACTCCATTATGTCACTAGCAAAAAGTGAATCGAGGTTTTTGAAAAATTTAGACATGCTCGTAAAAAAAAAATTTTCGACAAAGACTTTTAGCCTCAAGACTTGTCTACAGAATGTACTTTATTTAATTTTTTAAAACGCTGCCTCGATTCAAGACTTTCTAAACTAAAACCCATGAAATGAAAGTCGATGTTTCACGTCGCTAACGATAGTTGTTTTACTGATAACTGTCCTATACAAAGGTCTCTAGTGCTAACTCTTTCAGAATATTTAGAGTAACTTAAGATACATGTATTTCGACTTTGCGAAGTCACATCCTTAATAAATGAGTAGTTTCGTATGTATATGTTCAAGGTATCATCTCAGAATATCGCCCATAACGTCAATCATCGAAATACATACTGATCTATCAAAAGAGATTCATCATGTGTTTAACAGTTAGTCTGTGAAACCTATTTTTTTTCTTTCATTTGATGCTTCGACAAATCAAGATATTTTAAAGAAAATCTTAGAAGCCCGAAGAGAATGTCTAATGATGGTTCAATGTTATATTCCTTTTTGTCTCTTCTAGCATGTGATCAACGTGGTCAATGTCATTGTAAGCCAAATTTTAGTGGACGACAATGTAATCAATGTGCACCTGGTAATTTTCATTTTTTATTGGTTTAATTTATAAATCTAAATTTGTTTTTTCAAAGGTTATTTTCGTTATCCGGATTGTGTTCCATGTTCATGTGATATGCATGGATCATTAGGCTTAAGTTGTGAACAAACAACAGGACAATGTGTATGTAAAAGTAATTTTATAGGTGTAAAATGTCAAGAATGTGCACCGGGTATGAATTTTTATTTTTAAAATATCCAAATTGGTTTTGATAGATATTATTTTTTTTTTTTTGTTAAGGATTATTTAATTTTCCTTATTGTGAGGAATGTAAATGTGTTCCAGCTGGTGTACGAAATGATTTTCCTGGTTGTGGTCGACATAATATTCCAGGTGTACTATGTTTATGTAAACAAAATGTTGAAGGAAGACAATGTGATCGTTGTAAAGAAGGTTTCTGGAATATGAAAGCAAATAATCCACTTGGTAAAAAAACGAAATAAAAATAAATATTTTTGTAAAAAAGAACAAAAATTTCTTTGCTTTTCTATTAGGATGTGAACCATGTGATTGTTCAGATGATGGTACATTAGCTCATTTAAATACTTGTGATTCAATTACAGGTCAATGTCCATGTAAGTTAACTACGCAAAATTCTACAACACGTTGTGATATATGTGCTGATGGTTATTATTCATTAAAACGTAATGACATATTTGGTTGTGAACCATGTCGATGTTCACTTGGTGGTTCATTACATAGTATATGTGATAAACAAACAGGACAATGTGTTTGTCGTTCATCAATTGTTGGTCGTGAATGTAATCAACCAGCAATTGGACATTATTTTGCAACTTTACATCATTTACAATATGAACTTGAAAATGGTGTAACAACAAAACAACAAACACCCGTTCGTTATGAATTTGATTTAAATGAATTTGAAAACTTTTCATGGAAAGGTTATGTTCGATATTCATCATTACAATCTGAAATACAATTACATATACAATTAATGAAACCAACAGCTTATCGACTTTTAATTCGATATAAGACATATAATGGAACATCAGTTAATACGAATAATTTAGATTATAAAATGCCTCAAATCAATGTTAATTTTGCATCAGTACGAGAAACTGGACAAACAGCACCACAAACATTTGATATTGATCTTCCACAATCTGATCGTCAAGCAACATATGCTACTGCTAGTACTTTTCTAACAAGTGATGCTGCACCATACAATGAATATTTATTAACATTAAAAACTATTGATCCAATTCTAGTTGATTATATTGTTTTTATTCCTATTGATTATATTGAAGCTCAAGCACTTCAACAAACTGATGCATTTGCTTATGGTCGTCCATGTGAATTAGATAATGAAGATGAATGTTATCAATATTATTATCCACCATTAACTGGTATGTCAAGTATAAGTCATCCATCATCAAGTTCAATATCAAATACACTTATGGTTGATTCAAATCTTCTTCAAGAATTATCAATTGATTCATTAACAACTATTGAACGTTCTCGTGATTATCGTTATGATTGGTTAATGTCAAAATCTGGTCAATATTATCTTCTTGTTGATTATCATACTATTGATGCTGGTACATCATATGCTCGAGTTCAAACAATTGATGGTGATATGGTACCTGGATCATTAGTACTTACTGAATGTCCATATACATTTGTATGTCGACAAATAGTAACAACATTAAGTAATAGTGGTAATCAACGAATAATTAAACCAAAAATAATGACTGTTACTGATACACGACGTGCAACGGTTATATTGAATATTGTTCAACAAGCTGATAAAAGTAGTCCAATTGGTATACAAAAACTTACTGCTGTACCTGTTTCTCAATTTAATTATGATCTTCTTCGACCGAAATTTTCATGTGTACGTGGTTCATCTGATGATAGTTCACATGGTTTATCGATGTGTGATGATTCACATAAACCATCAAGTAGTTTATCAGCAACACCTATACAAATATTTCAAGCTGAAGATTATTATAATGAACATTTAAAAACAAATCATTTTCCATCAGGACCAGCAAATACTTCCGTTGTTCCACTAAATTTTTCAATACCAAATATCTATGTTTATGGACGTTTAACTGACGTATATGCAAAACCAGAAAATTATCCAGCTATCTTTCAATTCCATATTCATTATTATCAATTAAATTCTTATACAGTATCAGATATAATACCATTAACAGTTATTTTTTATAGTCGTACGGGTGACAGTCAAATTGGTGAAATAAGTGCACCAATATGTCAACGACGTACATTAGGTGGTTGTTCACAAATAGTTACACTTCAAAATGGTTCAACAACTATTCGACTTGATGAACCAGAATTTACTGTTTATTTAGCATTAGTTAATCCAAATACATCATTACTTATTGATTATCTTACAGCACAAAAGATTGAACCAAAAACAGATAAAGTTGCAGCATCACCATCATCATCATCATCATCATCATCGGCGGCAGCAGCCGCAGTTGATAACGATCGAGCTTCAAAATTTGTTCAAGAATGTATAAGAAAATCAGCTTCTAATTATGATTTAAAAATTCAACAAGCAACTCCATTTTGTCGTCAAGCACTTTATTCTTTATCAGCTACATTTAATGAACAAGCATACCCTTGCTTATGTGATGTACGTGGTTCAATAGATCCAAATAGTCATTGTGAATCATATGGTGGTCAATGTTCTTGTAAACCTAATGTCATTGGTCGACGATGTAATCGTTGTCAAACAGGATATTGGGGTTTCCCAAATTGTCGACCATGTGCATGTCCAACAAAAATTTGTAATGAACTAACAGGTGATTGCATTTGTCCACCAAGAGTAACTGGACGTTATTGTGATCAATGTGCTCTACGAACATATGGTTTCGGTAAGTTACATAAAGCTTTTCAAAAATGGTTTCGTTAGTCCTTCAGATAAATAAGTAAAGAGTGAGTCTAGTCTATTTTTTCAAAGAACTGTCTTTTAGCTTCAATGCATATATGCATTCGAATAAATCAGACATCGACGGAGTTTTTGAAATCGTCTTTTGTCAGGTTATTAATATTTTATTCTAATACATTCAAGCCCTTAGATCTTGAGAATATGGTGAAAACAGATATGGTTCCACGTGATTTTCGATCAAAAATATGTGAGTAATCTAGGCATTGTGCGATCTTATCTTATCATCATAAAAAATCATATCTCGAAGGTCGATATTTTTTCACCATTTAGACCACGAGATTTCATTAAAAAAAATCACCACTATTCATTTGCCTGAACTTCTGTTCCGATGGACTTTGGTTAGTCGAGAATCATTTGTGACGCCCACATTTCTGATTGCTCTTTTGTTTTTGGTTCATAATGATACAGTAATAAAGTCCAGTACACAATGAGATCGACCTTTTTTGATTCGTTTGAGTGAATGATGACAAAATTTCAATAGACGAGTATTTTTGATCATCAGCTAGCTGATGAGGTAGGTACCCATCGAACACAAACCTTGTGTAACTTCAAATATTCGTGAACAATTGAATTGATCACTGACGAGTCAATGATTAGAATGAGGCTCATTTTCAATTATTGCTCTGTCTGTATCAGTTGTTTCTTAGTTGACAGCGTTGTGAGAATAACTTGACTACGCAGCATCTTCAATACTTTATATTAATTCGTTGAAATCCATGAAACCAATTGACAACTATACAATCTGAAGATACTTGGTCCCTCATAATGGTACCAAACGGGTAGAGTTTTCCTTGTACATGAAGTCAATTTTCTCATTATATCTAAACATTATGGTAGAATTGCTACATTTAAATCAAGATTTTTTGAAGAATCGGGTGAAATTTCATTCTGTCTATCTTAGAACACTTTTCTTTACTCTCTTTTTACTTAATTCTCCAGAAATACCATAAGGAAGTAGTTAATATATTGTAATAAGCCATCATTGATATAAGACCTGTAATTGCATATTAACAACGTCTGTCACGGTCTGTAGAGGCGAGAGAGAAGAGTGCGAATTTCCGCTCTATATATTTTAACACTCTTTGCAGACCGTGTTTCACAAAAAAGTGTCGAGTACTGCTTGTTATTTTGTACAGTATATCTATTCTATATAATAAATATCTTTGTATTTTTCTTTTGTTCTTTAAAGATCCATTAATTGGTTGTGAAGATTGTCAATGTCGAATTGAAGGTGTAATTAATGGACGTCTTGATTGTAATCTTCGAACAGGTCAATGTCCATGTCGAGAAAATATTGGTAGTCGAACATGTGATCGCTGTGCTTCAGGTTTGTAAATAATCAAATAGAGAAATTTAATTTTTATTTTATATATATTTTGTCTAGGTCATTTTGATTATCCACGTTGTCTTAAATGTGATTGTGATTCAGATGGTACACTTGAACCAATATGTGATACATATACAGGTACATGTTTATGTAAAGAAAATGTGTATGGACCACGATGTGATCGATGTATTGATGGTACATTTGCATTATTATCAGATAATCCAAAAGGTTGTACTAATTGTTATTGTTTTGGTGCAACAACACAATGTCATTCAGGTTTATTGAACTATCGACCTATACGTAATATGTCTGATTGGTCATTAACTCGATCGAATATACGTTTTGATCGACGTGAAGCACGTTTAACAATGTATATGAATTATGATAATAATGATCAATCACCAATATATTGGTCAGCACCAAGACATTATTTAGGTAATAAAATTCTTGCTTATGGTGGAAATTTAACATTTAAATTAAGTTATACATCAACAAAAAATAATTATGAACAAAATATAAATAAACATCCATTAGTTATACTTCGTGGACGTGATTTAACAATTGCTTATTATTATTCTCGACCATTAGAACCAAATCGTCATGATGAAGATATTTTAATAACATTAAAAGAAGCTAATTTTCGTTTTCAAACACGTTCATCAACAGCTGTTACACGTGAAACATTTTTACAAACACTTAGTAATCTATCAAGTTTACATATACTTGCATGGCCATATTCATCAGATTCAACAACAAGTTCAATTACTTTTATTCAATTACAACAAGCTGATCTTAAATCAACAAATAATATTTTACCACCACGTTCATTAGCTCGTACAATTGAAGTATGTTCATGTCCACCAAATTATGCTGGTACATCATGTGAAACATGTGCACAAGGCTATTATAAACAATATAGTGGTACAAATGGTGCACATAGTTATATATGCGTATCATGTAAATGTAATGGACAAAGTAATATATGTGATGTTGAAACTGGTCATTGTTTAGCATGTCAAAATCATACAACAGGAACTTATTGTGAAAAATGTATTCAAGGTTATAATGGTGATCCAACACAAAATATACCATGTCGTATTTGTGCATGTCCATTATCAATTGAATCAAATAATTTTGCATCAACTTGTGAAATGAATATAACAACAGGTGAAACAACAAAATGTTTTTGTCAACAAGGTTATTATGGTGATAAATGTCAATCATGTTATCCAGGTATTTTAAATTGATATAACAATTATTTTGTTTTGTATAATTCATATTATGTTTTTCACAGAAAAATATAGTGAATGTATGTTTTAAGTCGAGATTTTGTAGCTTTTCCATTCATAGCAATGGATAGAGGACAAACAGTCATTGGACACGTTTCTATAGCAAAAATGAGGATAATAGGCCTCAGATTCCTTTCTTAGAGTTCCTTAGTAATGAAAAAATACGCTGAATGTTATTAACAACAATACTTAGACTGTTCTAGAACATTCCAAAGCCTTCTTCGAAATTCAAATGTCTGGAATGTTTGTGGAAATTTACGTTCAAAATATCGAAGATGATACTTAGGGTGTACCAAAAGTTCTGATCACGACGTTACATAGCCATATAGTAAGCTTAAAAAAAACTTTCTTTCTATATAGTCTAATAGAGAAAAGAGTGCTCTATTTTGCTATGCTATTTGATCATACTTCAAATAATAATATGATAATAAATTTTTGATAACACTTTTTTTTTTGTTATCATTTGTGCTCATAGTACTAGATCACAAAGGATGAGGCAAGTTAATTTTCAATCCTCCAATGCGTTGTATTTACAATTAAAATATACCATAAGATGCAGCGTGAAAAGCTCTACAATTTACATAAAACAACTTGCTTTATAGTTGTACTTTTCATTTTCAAAATAAACAAAGTTTTAAGGGGCCAAATTTTGAGCATTGCAAAAATTGGTGGCACGGAATTTTCCTTCTTTTTAAAACAATTACAATAAGCTTCACTGTGAAGACTGTAGAGCTTTTCACGCTGCATCTTGTAGTGTATCTGGTTGTTAATACAATAAAGCATATCAGATGACAAAACGATGACATAAAAAAAAATGAATTCGCCATGTATCAAAAACATTATAAATTTCGCATGGTTGAACTTTGATCTTCCAAAATATTGTCCATTTTGAAAACGAAAAGTTCAACTATAAAGTGGTCATATGTAAATTGTAGAGCTTTTCACGCTGCATCTTATGGTATACTCTGGTTGTTAATACAATGTACTAGGGGATTGGATACTGCAATCCAAAACTTACTAGACCACAGACGATAACGGAAAAAGTCTTATCCAAAATTTATTATCATAATATTAGTTGAAGTATGATCAAATAGCATAGAAAAATAGAGCATTCTTTTCTCTATCAAGCTTATATAGAAAGAAAGATTTTTAAAGCTTACTATATGGCTAAGTAACGCCGTGATCAGAACTTTTAGTACACCCTAAGTAAGTAGTGTTGCATTGATTTGCTACAGTTATCATATAATCAAGGTAAACAAAAAAAAATAGAGCGTCAGTAAAAAAAAGAAGAAAAGCTTCTGTTCGAAATACAGAAATAAATAACTTATGTGATTCAAACTGTTCGATATAATGTGCACCATACCAGGTGTAGTTTGGTACGAAAATCGTCGACTATGTTCTGACTACCATTCTACCGCTGTATAGCCATAGGTGTTCTCCGATCAGCAATCTACTATCGTTCTACTGTCGGTAGTGCCGACAAGCATGCGATATTGAAAGACAGATCGTTCCCTAACAGTCGTTTATTCTTGGAAAATAGCCACAATCTGCTTGAAATTCTTCACTTACGTATTTTGAATTAGTCGAATAAGGTCGAGCAGGAACAGCAGAAACTTCACTCTAGAAATTTGCTAAAATTTTACCAAGTCTTTTGGAATCTTATGAAGCCTATCGAATTTTGAGCCCATCAGGTTAGTCTCGGATCTGGTCGGGTCCGAATATTGTGAACCTGATGGGCTCTAGTTTTTTTTATTTCGATGAGAAAACTTCATTGAGAGTATCAAAATACGGTTCGACTAAGTTCAGGTTCAATTCCAAATATTTTCGACTCGATAGACTCTAGTCGAAGTCCCATGAAATCTTAAAAAGTCTTGAAGTGTGCTGTTTCTCTTTCGTGTGCGGTTGGACCTATGCTGATAAGATTTTTCGAACATATTTGATTTTTCTTTTAGCATATTGGGGCGAACCAACTAAAGTTGGTAGTCGATGTGTATCATGCGAATGTAATTCAAATATTGATCCCTATGATTGGAATGCTTGTGATCAAAAAACTGGTCATTGTATTAATTGTTTAAATAATACATTTGGAACTATGTGTGAACGTTGTCGAGATTGGTTTTATGGCGATGCTGTTCAAGCAAAAACTTGTGCACCATGTACATGTTCACAATGTGGTTCATTAAGATGTGATCATATGTCTGGACGATGTCAATGTAAATCTGGTGTAACAGGTGTAACATGTGATGTTTGTTTGGAAAATCATTATGGCTATCATGCATGTAGTGATGATGGATGTAAACCATGTTCTTGTGGTTTGGGTAGTACAGGACCATCATGTGATCTTTATACTGGTCAATGTCAATGTAAACCTGGTGTTGGTGGAAGGTACAATAGATACTATTGAATTTGAAATATGAAAATTCTTTGGTGTTTTTTTTTCTTATTTAGAAGTTGTGATGTTTGTCTGCCAGGTTATTGGGATTTAACTGAAAATGGATGTACACCATGTCAATGTGATCGATTTGGAACTGTTAGAGATTTAAGCAATACAGGATTAAGTTGTGATGCACAAACTGGTCGATGTTATTGTATTGAAGGTGTTCGAGGAGAACGATGTGATCAATGTGAAGAATTTTATACAATTGTTGAAGGTTTGTTAAAGAAATATAAAAACAAGAAAAATAAATTTTTTTTCACATACATCACACAAATTTACTATATTTATTGGTTATGTAATAACAGACAAATAAACAGTTTGAGTCTTTTTTTTTTATTTGGAATCTATTTCAGAAAGTACTACATAGACAGGCAGATATCCTGAATTGAATATATTCACCAGAATATTTCAATATTTTGATATGCATATAATTTTAGATTAAGTCAATCATAATCATTTTTATCTCTATTTTCTCAATTGGAATTGATTTACAAATATATTAAAAATATTTTAAATGAATTCTAATTCTCTTTACAGTTAGTACTATATTGTCTTATATATTTAGACAAAAAGTAACACTTGCGATTTTACGTATGTTCAAGAATTTCAAAATAGACTCCATACCATAAACTATATATATCTACAAGATTTTGTAGTATGAAGGCTCCTCTACAAAACGTACACAGTCAAAATCTTTACCCTTTTCAGTGTCACATCGCTGACGCTAATTTTTGCAATAATAACTCGACGAAATCAAAGTCTATAGGATTGAATTTATCAGAGTATCTAGAGTTATTCAACATACATCTGTTACATCACAATAAGCTTTAAAAAATACTTAAGACTAGAAATAATGTACTTTTATTTTGCGGAATCCTGTCGCTAATGAATGAAATTGTTCATATGTTTATTTGATATCGAAAAAATTGATTAAATGAATATATTTTCTTAATTTATATTAGGTCGTGGTTGTCTTCCATGTGATAAATCAAATGTTGTACCTGAAGGTTGGTGTGCTCGTCAATTAATTGATGATGTTGATCAATTACGTATAAAAATAAATCGAATAATTGAAAGTGCCGATCGAATAACTCAAGGTCGTACAGCTAATGAACGTATACAACGTATGCGTTTACGTGCTAATGAATATCGTTCACTTGTTAATAATCTTGGTGCTAAAAATCATCGATGTTTATTAAGTAAAAATCCTTCAAGTTCATTTTGTCTTAATGAACAAATTGTTAATTTAACTCGTTTATTCAATGATTTTGATCATGATTTTAAACAAACACAAATTGAACTTAATCATGAACAAGACGAAGCTAAACAATTATTACAACGTGTACAAAAAGAATATGAACGTGTACAAGAACAAACAAAATTAATGAAAGATTTTGCTGATGAGATCGAAGCATTTTCAGCTAATTTAACACAACATACAAATGATGATCCAACTTATATTATCGATCTCATCGATAAGTATGTTGCTTGAATTTTCAACGGACTTTTAGAGAAATAAAAATAGTAAGGAGTATAAAGATATGAAAAATCACTTCTTCGTCCAGTCGCTTGTGAGTCGGGACTATGTTACGCTATGTAGGCTCTAATGAAATTTGACTACTATGAAAAAGATATCGGTTGTTAGCTTGTTACTATTGAGATACTGAATTATTTAAGATATTTTCAAGCACTGCTGGCAAAAAAAACGGAGTTTTGAATTTCTATGCGAAAGTTTGAACAAAAATAGCCGTCAATGAGAATAGTTAATTGTGTAAAATTCCTGATCTTTTTGCAGTGTCTATTCTGTAAAAAGAATATTAGAAACTAGTGGCGTATATGAGCAATTTTTTGTATAAAGCTTCAAATAATAGTTGAAAACTCAGATTTTCGAGTTTTATTGAGGAGTACAATGGCAATGTGCTTCAAACTGCTCAAAACATTGCAATATCTTGGCAGTTATAAGTTATCAATCGGCATCTTTTTCACGTTAGTCATAACTCATTAGGGTTTACATGATGCATCTAGTTCTGACTCAAAAGCAATTGAACAAGTTAGAGGATTTTGATCGTTAAATTATATCGAATTTTTATTCACAAAACTGTATAACGAGCATAAGAATTCTACATCTGATTAATATGACGAAGTTTTTTGATCCTGGTGCCGATAATGTCTTTTCTAGTGATTCGATTATAGCCTTAGTAAATCTTATTTGGTTACAGTCTAGAGAAAACTTGTCCTGAATTGATTCGTATCACATGTAAAAAAATTCTTCAATATTTTTTATTTATTTATTTATTTATGTAATCGATTACTAGTACTTTTTCGCTTAAAACTTTAAAATATTGACCTATAACCTTTAGTTTAGAATGAGACAAATTTTTCTCCGAGTTTCATTCTCGGTCATAGTAACTTTTCTTTCTTGAGATCTTGAATTTGGCTTCGCAAATCTCTTACCATGACCTAACTAAATAGTCATCAATAATTATTTTCTTTAATAGTGTTTATACAACTATTGAACGATTTGATATTGAATCTGAACAAAATATGATAAAAAATTTCAGTCAATCATCTTCTTATTTATATACATATCTTCAATCATTAAGTATTGATCTTAATAAACATATAAATGAAAGTGATAAACTTAATAATCAAACATTTCATTTTGAACAACGTACATTACATATGGAAAAACATATTCAACAAGCATATGAAAAACTTCAACGTATATCTCAACAAGTTTCTACAATTGATGATATAACATTAATGCGTACAAAATTAAAACAAAGTATTACATTAAAACAAACAACAGATATTAAATTATCAAATATAAGTCAATTATTACAAAATGATTTAATAAAAAATTTTAATCAATTACAAATATTATATATTCAAACATTAACAAATGCTAAAAATTTAAATGTATCAATTCAAGCATTACTTTCATTAGTTAATGAAACCATTGAACAAAATCGTCGTATACATAGAGATGTTCGACAAATATTTACTTATGTACAAAATTTAACTGAAACATCACAATATCTTGAAATGTTATATGATAATATGAAAAAAGAAAATAATGCTACATTATTTCCTGTATTTGTTTATAAAAATATTATTGATACAGTTAATTTATTAGATTTAACATCAAATGAATTAATTAATAATTTAACATATTCACAAAAACATATTTATCAACAACGACAACGTATTGAAAAACTTGAAAAAGAACAATTAAATCAATCATTATTATCACCATTAAAAACACAAATTAAATTAAATATTGAAGATGAACAACGTTTAGAACGTGTATCACGTTCATCACAAGCATATGAACAACCATTAAGTACAAGTGAAAAATTATTACCAGCATATAAATTACGTATAAATGAATTAAAATCTACAGCTGATAATTTAGAACCACATTCAACAAATATATATGATGATAGTCAAACTAAAACAAGAGAATTTGCACGTTTACGTGAAAAAATTCTTGCCGAAAAACCAATGAATGCATCATCAATAAGTGATCGTCCATTACAAATGGAATTTGCTGATATAACAGATGGTATACAACGTATGAAACGTTGGGAATCTGATACAGATGAACAATTACGATTAGTTAAAAATTCATATGATCAAACAGTTAATTTACAAGAAAATATAGCAAATATTATAGCTGATATTCGTCGTCTTGTTGATGAATCACGTTTAATTGTTAGTTCAGTTCGTGTTGGCGCACAATTTAATCGTACAAGTGGTGTTAGTTTACATAAACCATATAGTAAATCACAAATATATCTTAATAAACAACATTCAAAATTAGCTCTTTCATTTCGTACAACAGAACCTGATGGACTTTTAGCTTATGCTGGTAGTGAAAATGATGATAGATATATGTCATTAAGACTTAATCAAGATGGACAAGTTGAATTTACTTATGATCTTGGACAACAACGGCCAATGTCTATTATAACACCACAAACATTTATTGATAATCAATGGTATGATGTTACAGGAGAAAGAATTGGTTCACATGGTCATCTTACTGTTGTTGATTCTACTGGTAAAAATATATTTGTTGGTAAAAGTGATGCAGAAGGTGGTGGTCAATCAATGCTTGATTTAAGTAATGATCGATCTGTATTTCTAATTGGTGGAGTTCCATCACAAGTATCTTTAAAACAAAGTTATACACCATTTTTTGGTTCAATATCCGATGTACGTCTTGATGATCATAGTGTTAGTTTATGGAATTTTCAATCATCTATGAATTATAATCAAGGTTCAATACCATCAGCAATTCATCATAAAGATGTACCTGGTATTAGTCTTAAAGGTGATGGTTATGTTATATTTTCAAAACGACGTTTACGTCGTCTCGAACATTCATTTCTATTAGCAATTGTATTTAAAACTCAAACACCTAATGGTCTTTTACTTGCATATGGTGGTGGTGATATTGAAAAACGTTTTTTTGCTGTACAAATTATTGATTCACATCCAGAAATTCTTATGAATACAGGTAGTGGTCTTGTTAGTTTACGTCTTGAAAATAATGTACATAATAATGAATTTCATCGTTTACAAATAATAAAACAAAATACAGAAATTATTGTTCAACTTGATGATCAACAAGCAGTATCGATATTTGATCGTGATGAAGAATCACGTATTGAAGGTGGAAATGATAATATTTATGTTGGAAAATATCTTGGACAAGATTCATTACGTGATGCAATAACAAGTCGAGGTTTTAGTGGTTGTATACAATCAATACTTATTGATCGTATTGAATTAACATTTAAATCAGAACATTTTAAACGCAGTAGAAATGTTGAAACAACATGTCCAAATGAACAAATTTTACGTACAGTACAATTTAATTATCTTGATCAAGAAAGTTATGTTGAAATATCAGAAAAAAATTTAACAACACCATGGGCTATAACAGCACGTTTTCAAACAACTCAACCATCAGGTACATTAATGTATATGAATAATGAAAATGAATATATGAATAAATTAATAATTTATTTTGAACAAAATCATCTTATGATTAAACATAAAGATTTACCAATAATACGATGTGAAAATACTTTATCAACTGATTGGTGGAATTATATTAGTATTTATCGTGATCCACAATCATATCGTTTATATTTAAATGATACTGAATGTGGAAAATTAGATATTGAAAGTGAATATAATAATTATCAATTATTTAAAGCAATATTTATTGGTGGTGTACCACAAATTATATCAAATGATATGCAACGTTTAATTGGTTGTATTGGAGATGTTAATATAGATGGATCATTAATTAATTTTAATAATGTTGTTAAATTAAAAAATGCTGAACGAAATTGTCAAAGTAATGGAAATCTTAATAATAATTATAATAAAGGACCTGTAGTTTATCCATCATTTGATTATAATGCTAGTCAACCAGCATATCCTGAAGGATATCAGCTCAAATTATTTCAATTGAATGATGACTCAAACAATAAAAGTCTGAATTCGGCGATGTTACCATCGATTGATCTAGTCAACGAAGTTACTAGTACTACATTTCAAACTAAAAAGAGCACTATGACTACAACAGTAACAATCACTACGACTACAACAACAACAACGACAGCAACAACTATCACAACAACCGTTACAAAATCGATTGGCGTTGTTTTAATCGAAAAACAAGAACATGATGAAGACAATGACGATGACGATGAAGAATCTTTTCGTAATCGTCGTTCATGTCGTTTATCTCGAACACCTGCAAATGATCGTGGTCGAGATATTGGTTATCGATTTGGTGATGATCATCGTGAAAGTCGTGCATTGATAACAATAATCGAACCATCAATTAGTCTTTCAATGAATATTTCATTTAAATTTCGAACTCGATTTGCACATGGTTTATTATTCTATTCAGGCAGTGATCGTATGTATAATCACTTATAGAATTTAAAACTTTTTTTTTTTTTGTGTTTTTTTTTGTATTTAGCTTATAATTCATATGTATTAAATGAATTTATTGCTGTATGGCTTCATAAAGGTCGGTTAGTTTTTGCTTTTGATTGTGGTTCAGGTAAAGGTGAAATAGAAAGTATAAATCGATTAAATGATGATAATTGGCATCAAGTTGATATCATAAGAAATGGAAATAATGCAACATTATTTATTGATTCACTTTTCGAAGGTTTTATAATTCCACCAGGTTAATTTTTTCTTTTTATTATAATAAAAATTTAATAGAATCTTTCTTTTATTTTAGGTAGTAAATTAACTTTAGAAACAGATGGAATATATCATTTTGGTAATATTCCATCTGATGAAAGATTTCTTTCACATCGTCGTCGTCAATTACATCATTTCAAAACTCGACATAATCATCTTCAATTTCAAGGTTGTATAAGTACAATACAAATTAATAATCAGCCAATAACATTTGATATCAATGTTAATAATGAATATAATTTTAATATAAAAACATGTTATGAAAATGAAGAATCAGGAGTTTTTATTAATGGTGAAAAAGAAATAATACTTGGTAAATAAGAAAATTATCTTGATTTTTTTTCATTTATATATAAAACATTGTTGACGACTTATTTTTTACTTTCAAAAGTTCTTAAAACAAGACAGATTTTGATAAAAAGGATGAGCATCACTGTCTTTCAACTACTTTGTGGTATGAACTTCTGCCAAGTGACACGTTCAGTAGCCCAATATCTTCCTATAAATGATATTAGCTTTAGCACTGGACTAGGCATGCACCGAACCCGAGTACAGACCGGGAATCCCGGGCTCGGCATTCTCGGAGTTCGGTCGCTCCCGAGTTCTGTCATTCCTGGTACCTGAAATGCTGGATTTAGTCTTTTATTTATTTGGATCATTGCTAGACACTCGAAGAAGCCAAGAGCATACCGGGAATACCGAGCCCGAACTTCCCGGAGTTCGGTCATATCTGACTTCTATGGATGCCTAATGCAGACCAAAGTACATGAATCACTAAATCTAATGTTTTAGGTACCGGGAATGGCCGAACCCGGAAAGTTCGGGCTCGGTGCATGCCTACACTGGACACATAACCGCCCTGATGCAAAGCTCTTGTGCTCAATCACTTGAGCTCTCCGTAGACATTAGCTAGCTACAGAAGTAAGTGTATGTCACAACCTAGTCAACACGCTATCGGACGCGAAGATCCGAGACAATAGCCGTTATTGACTTGTCCAGCATGATTCTATAAATTGCAATACCGAGGTTTGAACATGGTATTTTATAGATACTTGTCAAACAAGATAGCTACTCAATCATGAGGACCACTTTGATAAGAAGTCTGCAAAATAACTGCAAAACAAAGGAAAAGCAGAACAACTTACATCAAAATTGGTCTGAATGGATCATACAAATTTGGGCCCGGTCTAAAATTTACTTCATTAATACCCATCAAAAGCCTTATTTCAATTAGTAGTTGTTACATTTTGCGCAATACTTAGCACTACGGAGTGTACCGATCATTCATAGAAATAAGGCTTTTTATGGGAACTAATGAAGTAAACTTAGATTGTGTCCAAAATTTCCCTGCACTGAAATATCGTCCGCCCGTTAAACTAGAGATGTGTAGGCTAAGCTTTTTTCCTATTCTATACTCTGATTGAGAAAAATTCTCTAACCTTTACCCTACTCTGCAAGATAGACTAGAGTAATCCTACAAATTTCTACGTTAGACAAACCTTCGATAACTATGAAATCTCTATAAATAGCAGGAGCGCATAGGTACGGCACCAAGCCTAAACGATTGAAAACATGAACTGTTAGCATACTGACATGATTTTTATCCATGGAATTCCCAAAACAAAAGGTTTAAATTTGATCCTTCTTCATGTACAATACTTTATCTATCTAGATATTTATCTTATTAGAATGATACTCAGAACTGTGTTTTTTTTTTATTTTTATTTTTTAGAAAATTCATTTCATCTTGGTCAACGATTTAATATATCATTTCATTTTAAATCTCGTGTTAAAAGTGGTCTTGTCTTAGCTGCAACAAGTATAAATGATGATAGTTATTTATTTATTTATCTTGATAAAGGTAATGTTGTTGTTACTTTATTACAAAATAGTGTTGATGAAATTCATGTTGTTCATTGGCCAAATGATATTAATGATAATGAAATGTGTGATGGTCATTGGCATACAATTGATATTCAAAAAGATTTAACATTTATTCGTTTATATGTTGATAAATATGAACCAGATGAAGAATTATTATCAATTGATTATGATTTAAACACAAATGGACCATTATATATTGGTAGAATGAATAATTTACCACCTATTGTTGATGATATACCTGTTTATACTGGTTGTATAACAAATTTAAAAATAATTGCTATTGATAATGATAATGATGAACATAATTCAATTCGACATGCTAAAGCACTTCATTCAGTTGATGGAATTGAATATTCATGTCCAACAAATTAATATTAATTAACTTTTGTATTAGAAACTTTTTTCTTTCGTTCTTATAAAAAACAAACTTGTAGATTAAGGAGTGTATTTGATCGATTAAGGAATAATAAAGAATTCACAAGTAATATTAGTTCCCTATTAAATAATCTTAGTCTATTGTTTATAAATTAATTTATTCAATCAATCGAAAAGTTTCAATCAGAATTTTGAAATATAACAATGAGTCTTATTTCACGATTTACTTGTTGGTCATGAATATGCATAAAAAATGACCACATACTAATTTATATATTGATAAGGATGATTTCTTTTCTTTCATCTATCATCTTTCTCTTTTTTTTTTTCAATCGGTCTGATTGCATATGCTATCAAACCAATTGAAAAAGAGAGAAAGATAGATGAAAGAAAAGAGAACGCCCTTAACAATATATGAACTAGTATGCGGCCATTTTTTATGCATATTTGTGAGCAATAAGCAAATCGTGAGTAAAATTCATTCCTACAATGCTTAATTTAATGAGAAAATCTTGCCAATGAATAAATCGTTTTTGAAGTGAGTCTTATTTTAATAGATAGATTTGATGCAGAGAAGGGAAAGTCTGAAAAAATTAATGCAGATCAAGTTTTATTCTCGAGTTATAAACATTTTAGTAAGCTTCTTTTTCGAAGAACATATTGTGATTTCTTTCAGATCACTTTGCAAATCAATTTTCGCGTTCAAACTTGACACAAATATAGTTCTTAATGGGAATAGTTCATTGTATTAATATTTGAGGACAGAAAACACTAGAAAATTTGACATTTTCACAATGAATTAATCCTATTGAACATTTAATTTTAATCTAAGAAGAGTCTTGATATTAGGCTGAAAAACTTACTTAGATGATAGCCATCAGTCAAGAAGAAAGATTGCTGGGTATAAATTTCTGCTAGCTTTGTGTATTTTTCATGGAGCCTATCTAATAAGTTCGAAGTCATTTTAACAGTGACCTATAACTTGAAAAGTTTTCCTCGTAATAAAAAGTATTATCAATGATGTTTCATATTAACATACACAGTCAAACAATCAGATGGCAAAATTTTACAAGATTATACAGTTAGTCTTGTAAGATCAGACGAAAATCGTACAATAAATCTTCGTCCCTAGAGTATTACATTTAATCATACTATAAGATTATAAGAAATCATATGTTACGGTAAGATCTTTGAAAAGTCTTGTAGTGGGATTCAATGTAAGACTTCAAAGACAAAGACTTATCTTACGATACCATCTGATTGGCAAGAACTTTTGTCTGATTTCTTTACATGGGAAGGTGCCATGTGTTCGAAAATCGAAAAACATTTTTAGGCATTTCTTTGTTATGGCTGAAAAAAGCTCGTCGAGTTACCTCTAAAAACGCGATTTTTCATATATTTGATGAATGTTCTCGGAGTGAAACCTAAGAAAATTGGGTTAACACAATCGGAAAAGTCTTAAAAAGTTGATAGACGCCAAAAGCATTAAGTCTCAGTAACCTTAATATTTATTTGAATCTTTTTAGATTTTATTGATCATGTGATTAGGAAAGAATTACGCATGACTTTTGAAAAATATTGTTTCATTATTGAGAAAAGCCATTTTTTTTATATCATAGCAAAACTTCATATATGCAGGTTCGTATTCAGAGATTTCAATTATCAGAAACATTTTTCATTGAATCATAAATTCAACATTTGAAACTAATTTTCGTCAAATCTCGACATTAGGAGAACCACAGGAAGTTAGCCTATGTGAAAGTGTACCAGTGAGAGATGTAAGGAACGAACCCATATTTATGACATTCTATTATCATATCGAAAAAATTAATTTTCTCAACAACGAAACAATATTTTTTCAAAATTCGTCGATAAGTTTTTTCTAACTATATGATGAGTAAAATTTGTCAAAAGCTCAGATAAATATTTCAGCTAACGAGACTTAATGCTTTTGTTGCATGTCCACTTTTCTACTTTTTTAACCTAATTTTCATAAGTATATGATTTATTTTCGATTCAGTGGGCTTGTCAAAATAAATAAATGTTTACGAAATATAGATTTATTCGATTCTAGCGACATCAATCATACTCTCGCTTATCTTTTCGTTTTATACTCTATTGATAATGTGATAAACTGAATCAAATGTTGACAATTTAGTTGAAATAAGAATATTTTCAGATAATGCTTAGAATATTTCACATAAGAATTATTTTTATTTTATTCAAACGGTGAAAAACTCGAACCAATAAAATCGATATACCCCAATCCATGTTTTATCACAATACGAATAAAAAAAGCATCTAATCTTAATACTTAGACATATGCGAAATAAGCAAAAATAACTATATACCACAATCTCACGTGCTCACAACCTTGACTTTTCTTTGTCATTAACCTTTTCCTATAGAGTGACAAAAGAAATACGTAACAAACACTTATTTAATTTAATTTTTTTTTTCCATTTAAGATCTTATAATTGACATAAAAATTTTGTTCTGAAAAGAACAAGAGGAATCATGCCAAACGAAACAGCCATATTAAATTCAAATAACTGTTCAGCTTGGCAACAATCCTCATCAATAAATTCGAATATTACAACGATAGATACACCACCTGATTCTGCTGGTTTACCTGTAAGATATAGAATTTTTAATTATTCGATATAGAATTTTTTTTAAAATCTTTTTCTTTTGTCTAGCCAAAAGACTGGCCAAGTCTTGCTGAGGCATCGGATGAACCAACAGTTTCATCGCAACCAAATACACCAAGGTCGCACAATAAAAAAGGTATAAGAAAAGCTTTCTTTTTTTTTTTTTAATCAACAAAAAAATTTTCTCTTAGGCAAACAAAAGTGGTTGCCACTACCATTTGAGAATAATGAAAGTAATAAAACAACAATATCATCAACTAATTCTCCAAGTACTATAAAACCAATTACACCAAAAGGAAATCGTACCGGACAAAATTCTCGTGGTGGACGTGCAAATAATCGTAATCGGACACGTAGTCTTGATGGTGCTACCCCTAAACGAAATCGAAAGAATCGAGCAACAGCAGCTGCTTATGCATATCAAGATTATTATTCGTATTATTGTATGTTAGAATTATTTCAATTTGTGATGATTATTTTTCTTTTTTTTTTTTTTTTTTTATTTAAGATTATGACCAAGGAGGAAATCCAGTGAAATTGTATCCTGATAAACAGGGTAAACGAAAGAAGAAATCTGAAGGATCGGTTAATATCAATCCAACTGCAGATGAAACAGGTAAAAATATCTTTCTAATAACTATTGAAAAAGTATTGGCATAAAAATCTCAAATACTGTATCTCTTCGATAGACAAACAATGAAATCAGATCCTTTACTAGACACTAATGAACATAAAGGCATGAAAAGAACGAAGAACAAATGTGAAACGAATTTTTAATATTTCTGACTAAGTATAAAATATATTGATATGAAATGTAATGAACAAAATCTCATGAATACATTTTACATATCATAGAAATCAATATATTGTTATCGATTAGATTATTTATTTAAAGTTTATTATTAATCATTCGTTAAATTATATACTAAGTATACAATTCGCAATAAACAAAAAAAAGCATGAACAAAATACAATGACATTGAAAAAGCTTTTACTCTATACATCGTTTATTCAATAGCTACCTATTGATAGTGTCTATGGTTCTTGAAAATCTGCTTCATCTGACTGTTTATTAAACGCATAGTTAAGGAGGAGCTGAGCAACCTTCCTGCTACTGATTGACTGTGCGTCAGCTGAGCTCTATTATGAACTTTTCTATCAGACAGCAGCACTCAGTCATCTGTGCCCTTTTGATTACATCAGTACTGTTTAAGTCTGTTCGACTGCAGAAAATAAAATAATTCTATAAAGAAATAGAATTTTACCATTACATTCTCATCATGTATATATTTATTTGTCTGATAAAATATAATTTTCGTATTATCTCAGGTATTAATCATCCAGCACATGATGTTCATAAATTTATATTTGATGATGAAACGGTTGTTATTGATGATTGCTCATTTGTCTTACCCTATATCCAAGGTGCTTATTATTACGAACCTACAACTCCACCAACAGATATAGATATATCTTTTGCTAATGTTGATAACTATGCAACTCCAATTGTACCTGCTTATACTGAACAACAACTAAAAGAACTTCTTCGACGTCAAGTGTAAATGTTTTTTTTTTTTCAAAGAAAATTTTGATCTTTTTTTTTTATTTTATTTGCTTTTTAGTGAATATTATTTTAGTTCAGAAAATCTTCAAGTAGATATATTTCTTCGACGACAAATGACGAAAGATGGTTATGTACCACTTTCATTAATTGCTAGTTTTAATCGTGTTCGATCATTATGTGATGATACTCATATAATTGCCAATGTTCGTTTGAAAATTTTCTTTACAGAAGAAAAATTGTTTTTTTTTTTAATGTAGGCGGTTCAAGATAGTCTTGTTGTTGAACTTAATGACAAATGTATGGTACGTTGTCGAAATGAACCTGATCGATGGCCATTGATAACTGATGTAAACAATCATTTAACAGCATTAAATCCTGATGTTCCAGATTTTCAACCAGGAAAAATGTGGAAAAATGAAAATCAAAGTATGACATCTAAACAACGTGGTCGAATAAGACCATTTTCCGGCTCTCCATAGATTTAAGATTTCTTTATCGGAATCGAGCTAGGAATGATGCTTCATCATATTTCACGGATGAAAACTGTACATAATTGACATTACAGTTTTTGGAATCTGAAGAATCCTTCAGGGATTTGAGAAGAAGGTTTTTTTGTGAATTTCGATCGCAATTTACCTAGATATGTCATACGACTCGCTTAAGAGTTAAGTCTAACGCTAGCGAAGTCCATTGAGGGAACCTTATGGGCAACTATATTGAGCTAGCTATATCCCACAAAGAATACAATTCTATTCATTGTAAATATCATATTCATGATCAGT